GTAGGGAAACCCATATAGTGAACACCTGTTTGTTTGGTTTTTTTTAAAGAAAAACAAAAAATCCCTGTCTGTCTAGGTTGAGAATAGGACTAAAATATTCAAGTTGTTGAACAAAAACATTCTTACAGATGTCTTGGGGTAAGAATTGATCTTTTGGTGACTGTTTCAATTCTGCTTAGAACTTGAGGAGTTTTATTGCTCTGGCTGAGTTGTTTTTCTCCCTAGTGAACTGTCAAGAGTCTCCTGGAAACCTAACCTTTTGGATCCTGCATGCTACTAAGTGACCTGTGTCTGAGTAGTTATAAATTGTTTACTCTCTTCCTAGATCATTCAGGTTCTTTTCCTAGGTGAAAACTTTATCTGACATGGTCCACCCTGACATCCTGGAACCAGTGCATCAAGTCCCCCCTTTACTTTTTGCATACTGTCCCAGGAGTTCAGACTTGAATACTTGTTTTACATGTGGGAACTATGAGTCAAAGCGAGTGAACACTTGTGCTTTGCAAGGGAATTTCTTAATTATGCCTAGGTTTTAATCTTAGTGCAAGAGAGATTTATGGTTATTTACATAAACTGAAGTAGACTGTCACTCCTCATTCTGGTCAGAGGTTTGTCTCCTACTGAAGGTGTACCTCTTGCTGCCAGCAATTGTTGATCTCTCCACATTGAATCCTTTCTCCTTATGCACTGTGAGGTACCCATGCCCTAGCCAAACTGCTTGATTCAGAGCAGCTGGGAAAATTAATAAAAAATCAGCCTGGCTCTCTAACTTCTCATTTCAGGTCGTCTCTTGGAGAAACAGTGGTACTACTTCTCTAGCTTTCTTATAAACCTCTCCTGAGGTGTCTAAGTGTGGGAGAGAGAGCACTGGTCACAAATTAGTGTAGTTATAAAGATCACAGGTTTTAAAAAAATAATGCTTCCCAACAATACTGATGCTGCTTGTTCCTGAAACACTGGATTCTGTGAATTTTAGTGTCTTGATGCTTTCTGTAACTTGGAGAGGAATTGGCTCAGAGACAAAGTTTATCTTACAAAACAACAAAAAAGTGTTAGAACACTTCTCTTCCAGCACATGTACTGGAAAGGGAGAAGAGCAGTTGTTGCCTGATGTTAGAGTTGGCTGAAAACCATGTCAGTCCACTCCAAAGCAAAGCACTTATTCTAAATAAATCTTTACATTGCAATTTAAGCAACAACTCAATTCTGCCCCCTGAATGAAGCTGGGAAGATTTCTGATCAAGCATCTGAATACCTTTCCATGGGAGAACCTGAGGTCAGGAGGACATTTTCTTTGGGATGAGGGTGAGAAGGGGTGGGAAAGTAATGCGCCGCTGCTTAAATTAAATGAAATGGCATTTATTCTTCCGTGTCTTGGCAAGTCTATCGCTGATGCCCGTCTCCCCGGATGGACGCAGCGCTTCCCACATGCGCGTCCTCCTGCGAGGTGCAGAACATGAGGGAAGCCCAGGAGGGAACGATGTCCCCAGCAATGCTCTAGCACGGATTAGGCCTTGAGACCCCTTCCGCTGCCCCCAGCCCCGGGCCTTCAAATGTGCTCGTTCCAGAATTCGAATGCGAGTCCAGCGACGTAACAACAGGACCGAGTGTGACGCAGTGCCCACAATGTTGTGTCCTGGTTGCGGGACAGTCCAGCAGCTCTTCAGCATACTCGGCTTCTCTTAGGTGGCGAGAGAGAAGAGTCGGGAGAGGTGAGGCTGGGGTATAGGCAGGTGACAGTGCCATAGAGAGTCAACGGCTCCACCGCACGGCTGCTGCTCCTCGCTCTTTAGCGTATGTCGTCCCCTCTGTCGGGCTGTGACGGAGGTGCTGTACACTTCACCTAGCGCAGATGAAGGTGTTGCATCCTTACCGCCTGTCACCGGCCGGGGGGATCCCTTCCTGTGCAGTAATGGATGCTGATCCCGCTGAGCGTCTCAGCAGAACCCGGGGGAAGTGCGGGGTGGGTAGCGAGGGTAGGAATTCAGACTTCTTAGTACAGCGTTGCGAGGAGAGTGGCGAGTTAGGTTCAAGAAGGGCTGCGGCAAAAACTTTTTTTATAGCTGCATTGGTGGTTCAGTGGTAGAATTCTCGCCTGCCACGCGGGAGGCCCGGGTTCGATTCCCGGCCAATGCAACTTGGTTTTTTTATTTTCCTTCTCTCATATTTTTCCTTGCAGCGGTCATCAGGGGGAGGTGGAACATAGGTATTTCCCCCGCACTGTCTCTGGGGGCCATATTCGGCCCCCCCACAAGACGGGTAACCGCGCCCCTCCGGCCCGGAAGTGACGCATTCAGATTCGCTTTCCAAGCGGGGCGCGCGGAGGGACGGGGGCTGTAGTGCGCAGGCGCGCGGGCCAGCGAGCTGAGGTCGGGCCAGCCGAGCAGTTGCGGAGACGCGCGAGCGGGCCGGTGAGTTGGGCTTTGCGGGCTGTGATGTCACCGCGGTGGGGGAAGGGATTGCGTGCCCCCGGCAGCTGTTGGGGGGGCGCAATCCCCTCCCCGCCTCCCGCCGTTGGCAGGGGCCCGGGCCCAGCCCGCGCGGGGCGGGGTGTGCATGTGTGTCCTGTGGCGGGCAGCACTTCAGCATTTAAGCTCCCCAGTTTTACACTCGTTCAGCTGCTTTGAATGTCCTCTACAGCAGCGTTTCTCAGCCCACAGACCGTGACCCGAAAGTGGGGCCTAAGAATATCTGAAAGGGGTTGCAAGTGGTCACAGAAGAGTTTGGAAAATCATGGATTTGAAGTACACTGATCTATCTGTCATGTGTCAGATCCGCATGGATGAAAGGAAAATTAATGTTATTGGCTATCGGTTGTTTGTTTGTTTTTGTTTTGTTTTGTTGTGTTTTTTTGGGCGGGTGTAGCTGATAATGTTAGGTGACAAATGGTTGCTGCCCCCGCCCCTCCCTCACAGCCACATACACGCATGTGGCCAGGGTGCATCTGGGCAGTGTGGAGAGCAGCACCCTGTGGGTAAGTGTGGAGAGGAAGGGGCGTGGGTGGCGGGGCAGATCGGGGCCCTGGGTGAGGCAGGGAGTGGGGCTGGGACTGGGGGCCCAGTCGAGACAGTGAATGGGACCCGGGGCTGGGAGTGGGACAGAGCCACAAACGGCTTGTCCAGGGGGCGTGGGGTGGGGTGGGGAAGGGGGGCAGCTCCCCAGTGCTGTGTGCACCACCCAGGAGAGGCATGGCAGGGCATGTGGCACCCTCAGATTTGTGCTCAGGGTGGATGCAGGCTGCTTGGTGTGGGCTTGGGGCTCCCTGCTTTGCTGCCTTTCCCTTGGGAGCCCTGTGCTGGCTGTGTGTCCCCTGCCTGCTCGGCAACTGTGGGGGCAGCAAGTTGTGCCTCCTGCTGCCGGCCAGACAGGTTCGCCAGGGCAAAGGCAGCACAGCAGGGAGCCCTGAGGCCACAGTAAACAGCTGCTTGGCTCCAGTTAAAACATCCTTACATTTAAAAATGGTGGTGGTGGCACTTGAGCATTTACTCAACTTTAGTTCAAGTGCCCCCACCACCATTTTTAAGCACTGGGACACTGATCCCTTGGACAAGTGCCTGTGGCTCTGCCCCACTTCCGGCCCCGGGTCCTATTCACTGCCCTGGCTGGGCAGCATCCCCAGCCCCTGCTTCTGTCTGACTCCCTCCCTCACTGTGGAGACCTTGATCTGCTCCCCACCCCAGGTCCCTTCCCTACCCCACTCCACAGACTTACCTGCAGGGTACTGCTCTCCATGCTGCCAGGTTGCATTCCTGTAAATTGGTTATTGAATTGGTATCAGTCGATATGCCCAGTTAATAATTGGCTATTGGTATTGGCCAAGAAAATCTTTACCAGTGCACTCCCTTCTTCTTTAAAGAAGGGAGAACGTGGGAAGCCACAGGTTTCCCCTGGTAGGCTGGCAGAGTTCCAGCCTGAGAGGCTCCTGGGGGTGGGGGGAAGCTGGAGGAGGGTGATCAGGCAGTGGGTGCCAAGTGCATCTGCATCAGGGCACCACAGGTGACACATCGGAGGGGCACATGCCCTCCCAGATTTGTGGCCCACAGCGAGAACGGGTCTGCAGCCTGGCCAGACTGGCACAGGCAGGAGCCATGTCTGCAACCCAGCAGGCAGATCCCAGCACCGGAGGATAGAGCAGGGCAATGAGACTCATTGCTCCTGCTAACAGGACCCCTGTGCCAGCCATGCTGCTAGCTGTGTGAGGAATAATGGATGTGGGGGGCAGGGATCGTGCTGCCCTCACCTCCTCCTGTCGCCACCATTTCCCTCAGTACACTACTCGACCCCCGAAGAAGAGGTAAGGGGGCAGGCAGCTTGGGCAGCCTGAGGGAAGCAGCGGTGGCCAGGCCATGGCAGCAGGGTAGAGCTGTGGCCTGGTGTGCAAGCAGCTTGTGGCCAGAGGAGGTGAGAGCAGTGTGCCCCTCCCCCCCCCATTTGTTACTCTTCGCACTGCTTGCGGTGTGACTGGTGCAAGGGTTTTGGTGACGGTGGCAGCAGCAGTAGCAGAGAGTCTCAGTGAATAGAGATGGTTCCTGCCTGTGCTAGTTCATATATGTTACTGGTGTTTCATTCTGATCACAGAAAAATGGATTTTTGGTTACTGAAAAATAGGGGACTTTTTTTATCAGAGAAAACTAGGATCCCTGGTCATGAATTAGGGATACTGGCAGTTTGCATTGTGCAAATTGCACAATGATGAATGTCACTTGAGAGTAATGAATGGCCATATGTTGATATTGCTATTAATGTTTCCTGCTGATATTGATTTCTGTCTTTAAAATTAAGACCTTGAGATGCTTTAATTTGTAGTGTATAAGAAGTATTTTGGGGCCAGAATACTTGTGTGTTTTCTGCTTAAACTATTTACTGGGTTGGGAGTGGCCATCAATGTCTACAAATGGGTCCTGGTACAAAAAGGTTGAGAACCACTTCTCTAGAGCCATGGGTGGGGAATTGTCATTTGTCCTGTAAATTCATGAACTGCTTCTGTTGATATCCATGAGATGGCAGACTCTCAAGTCTCTTTCTACATTCGTTTTAAAACTTGTCTTTCAGTGGTGGTCAGTGTTTTGTACTTGATGCAGGTTTCACCCAATGCTGTTCCTGGCCATCCTAAATCCTGGGTCCCTTATGGGCATGTGAAACAAGCTAGGATAAATTTTGTTGTTAATGATGGGAATGACTTGACGAGCAGCAGTTGAGTTCCTATTTCAGTAATATCCTGGGAGTCATAAACATGACAAGTCTATTTATTATACTCTGGATAAGCTAAATACTGGCCTTTGGGGATGCAGAATAGAAGTACACATAGGAGTAAACCTGTTTGAAGTCTCTTGCCTGGTGATAATTTTACAAGCTTATTTCCATCATTGTTCCTATTTGCCCATAGATGTCTTGCGTACAATTTGGGGACTGGTCGTAGTTGATAAAACACTAGACTTGCTGTATTGTGTAATAGATTTAAGTGTTTGTAGATATTTCTCAGTTAATATATATGGAAGTGCCTCAGTGTTACATTTTTTTTCTTTCCTATTCTGTCTTGTTTATTTAGCAAGAGATTTGTATGAGCTCCTTCCTATAATAGATGTACAAAAAACTATAACTCTTGGTTCCAAAATGATACCTTTTATTAGACCAACTGAAAAATGGCAAGGAAATTGTCCTTTTCTGCAAGCTTTTGGGGTCAAAGTCCCTTCGTCAGGCTCTGGGAAAAGTGTAGATGGTACAAGATGATAAAAAGTCCCCATAGGTAGGAAATAAACTTCATTTTTGCACAGAGGAAGCTGAAGATGGAAGGCTGTCCCTCTGGGTCCATGAGAGTGTCTTTGGGGGCTGTGTTGAGTAGCTCTTTGATGTGTTGATCAGGTAGAATTCCTTCCCTGGAGGTGTCAGATGGCAGGCAGGGAGGTAAAAAAAAAAAACACTTCCTTGTTCTGAAATGAAGTTTAAATTCCATAATCGGCTAAAATTTAGCATCTTCCATGTTTCAGGAGTGTACTTGGTAGCCGTGTCAGTCTGAGACAAAAAGACATATAAAAAACCAAGAGTTCTAGTTTTTTGTGTCTTTTTGTCTCGGACCAACACGGCTACCAAGTACACCCCTTCCTATAATAGAAGCATTTTCCTTCAGACTAGTTTTATCTGCTTATCTTCTTCACTTGCAATAGATAGTGAGAAGAAAGTGTTATACTGTCCCCCTAATTCACAGCTTCTGACCTTGTTCTGTAAAAGACAGTGTAACAGCTAGCAACAGCTAAATGTTTGTATCAATTGCAAAATAGCAAACCAGTGGTACAAGTAGGAGTAATTTGCACCTTGGTAGTTTAAAAACAATCTCAGTTAGTATCATGTCATGCTAGAATTCACTGGAATTAAGACATGTATCTTTTTACTTTAAACAGTGATGTTAAATAGGAAATAATTTCAAAATATGTTACAATTACCTGTGCCTTTTTAGTACCCTCACCTAGCTTGAGAGATTCCTAAGATCTTACTTGTTGAAAAAATGCCTTTTGTTGGAAGTCCCAAATAAATCCTGCTGATCTGAATTTCTCTTTGTTCTCTTTTCGCATTGTTTGCCTGTTTGGCTTTTCTGTGGGCAACCATCCCTTCCTTCCTCCCTTTTTCTTTTGCCCAGAGCTCATTTACCATGGCAGTTCAACATCCATTTTTTGTTTTATTGTGTTCCATTTTCCTGGTTAGTAGTTCCATGTCTTCTTATTGTTTTATTCAAGGATCATTCACTTGTTTTTGTTTGTTGTTTTCTTGCTGTTTTCTCTATATACAGGAGAAAAAACTGCTTCTTATAGATGTCCCACTGCAGTAATATGTAAAATATAGAATTCTTGCACTGCTCAGAGATTTGCATTATATTTAACGTGAAGCTGTACATCACTGTTTTACTCTTGGTTTGAAAAGCTTGCCACTGCCTTTAACTTGCCATTACTTGACTTAGAGCATGTATTAGCATCTTGCTTAACCTGCAGTTTCAACCTGGGAAAGGCAAACGGGTGTATCTGGTAGGATGAGTCTGAGTGGAAGAGCTTGCTCCTAAACGCATTAGTCCAAACCGATGGCATTGTCTGCGTTAGGATCCTTTAGCTAGCTCCTGAAGAAGAGATTGTTAGCTTTCTTTTAGGTAAAAAGAAAATAGTTTTTTTCCTTAGAAAATGAAAACGCATCCTTTTCCCAAAGTCTTACTAACTTGGAATATATGTTCTTCATATCTGTTGAACTGATGGTTATTTTATATTGTGAAAAGGAACTGGGTGTTGTAGATTAAGCAAATAAAAGCAGAGCCAGACAGATAGCCAAAGTGCTAATACTTGCAGTAGGGGTGCACCAATAGATTTTGGGGGCTGATACCAGTAGCTGATTTTTAAGGAGGCATATTCACGATACCAATCCAATTTCTGATACAGTTGCATGCAGCTGGTAAGTCTGTTGCGATGGACAGAGAGGAAGGGAGAGAAGGGGTGTGGAGGGGCAAATTAAAGCCCCCGTGAGAAGGGAGGGAGTGGGGTGGGGTACTGGAAGGAGCCATGGCTTGTCCCAGGGGCAGGGAGAGGGTGGGGGCACATGTACCTTTGGATCGGCACGGGGTGGGGTGAGGTAAGCTGCAGGCTGGGGCCAGGGCCACACCGGGCTCTTCCTGGTGCTTGAGGGGCCTGGGCTGGGGCTGCACTTGAGACAGGCGGAAGCAGCACTAGGAGGAGGTTATGGGGCGCTGCAGCCAAACCAAATTTTGCTGTAGCCCCCTCCTCCCAGTGCTGCCGCCACCCATCCTGAGCACAGCCCCCAGGTGCCGGGAAGAGTCTGGCACAGCCCCCGCCCCCCCTCACGCAGATCCAGGAGCACATCCCGCCCCCTGGCCCCGTGCCCTCCCAGGGTGTGCACAGCAGTGGGAACTGCAACCCCCACACAAGCCATGGCTCTGTCCCGCACCCTGCCCTGGCTGAGCAGTGCCTTCCCTAACCCCTACCCACTCCCTCCCTTCCTCACCATAGTGGGGGGGGGGGGGGGCTTTAATCCCCCCCCCCCCCCCCCCCCCCCCCCCCCCCCCCTTCCACTACAACAGACTTACCAGCTGCATGCAGCTCCTCGCTGCCGGCATGCTATACTGCAGCTGTGTGTATGCATGGGCATTTATCTGCCAAATTATCAGCCATGTTAGGCCGATTTCCGATATAATCAGTTTTCTTTATATTGGTGTTGATCCTAATGCTGCTTGTCCTGCCACTGAAGGTGGGTCTGGATCTGGCCCCTGAGGAGCCCCACAGTCCAGATCTAGCCTAAGGGGCCAAACTAGTTTTACAACCCTGATTTAAAGTAACCTGTATAATTGCTGTTGGCATTTTCTTTTAATAAAGAAATTGTATTTGGGTTAATGATATGGTCGGTTGAATTCCAATAATATAAAGGCCAAGAAGCTACAGAGACTCAGAGGGACTGGATGTTATATGTGGGTAATAAAAATATCCAGAATTGTCATAGTTGATACTGAGTACATGTATCCTTGGTAAGGAAACAGAAACAGTTGGGTAAAGCATTAGAATGTTTGTTTTGCTTGTAGAGACTTTCTGTTCTGTTCTATTCCATTCTATTCTATTCTATTCAGTTTGATCAGATCTTTTAAAATGGAAAAAAGATCCTTTTTCATAAATTCCTTGGCACAGTGCCCTACCTTTTTGAGTAATTGGAAACATTGCATTATAACAAGATGATTTTCAGAGTATGTTCCAACATGTTAAAGGTTTTTGACTGTGTCTGTTTTTAGTTTCAGCTGTCTCAGCAACTACTCCCTGCATGTGTGGATTACAGTGATAGATTAGGAAGCAGGTGGTGCTGTCAAGTTAGTGCAGCTGGTGCTGATTTCTTCTGTGTCCTTTCAGTTACTGGGCCAAAACTGGCTGTCTTTGAGCTTTACACATGTCTCCTGGGACCTTCTTTAAAGAGGTTGTGGGGGAGAACCTCCTTTCCTGACTGAAGACTCCAGGTTGGGGGATCTACTCATTTGACTACTTAAAAATAAAAGAAAAACTTGGCTCTTGGTGCTTTCACCTTACCCACAGCTCATGTAGCATTAATAGTGCTGTACTGGTAATAAAAATACTTGCTCACAGCCTATTGTGAAATTATTCTGTCTACAGGGCTAGGATAAGGTGGGTCACAGGGTGTTTAGCTGTGGTTCTCAAAGGATCTTTAGTATAATAGATTATTTCTTGCACGATGCAATAACTTACGGAATGAACTGCTCCATATATACTTACGGTTATGGAAAAGTACGGTTTCTCTATATTTATCTGTTGACTAAATAGTTACATTTAGAAACTCGTCTTCTAACTAATTCATTCATTTTTTCTATTATTAAATGCAACAGAATATACCTGAGAATCTGAAAAGAATTTCAACATTAGTTTTGTATTTTTTACTGCATTTTTAATGTAACTTTTCATTTTTTTTCAGTTTACGTTGAGCATGAGTCTTGTTATGATCAGTGAGAATGTAAAGCTGGCCCGTGAATATGCCTTACTAGGGAGCTATGATACTGCAATGGTCTACTACCAGGGAGTTCTCGACCAAATGAACAAGTACCTCTACTCTGTCCGAGATACGTGTCTTCAGCAGAAATGGCAACAGGTGAGCAGCATTATTTTGTCAGGAAGCATTTTAATGGCAGAGAACTAAGCTAATACAGTCTACCTAGTTTAATCATGAGTAAGAAATACTAAAAAAAAATAAAAAAATCCTAACTGTTCTTAACAAGCTGTTGTGTTACTATATTCCTAAGGCTTTGCAGGCTAATTATTTTTTTTTCTGGTGGCACTGGCATTATAAGGAATGGAGCACAACACTAGCTTCATACTGCACTAACTTGCTTGCCAATTTGACTTCTCATTGAATGGATGAGTGCCCTTGTTATGGCTTAGTTAGTTGAACTTTTATATTACCATGAGGCAGACTTACTCCTTCACTTGAATGTCTTTCAGTAGTGGGGGGTTTTGGCTCCCTCATACAAAATTAAGGTTACTGCATTCACTTCACATTGATGAAGAACAATAGTTTCTCTGAAGACAAACCAGTCTGTTAGGTTGCAGTCTCCTCATGTTGTACATTTTTCTTAATACTGATGTGAAGGCCAGCATACTCCACAGCATGGAATCGGCATTAAACATGTCTCTTCAGTTATCTGACTGATCCTTCATATGTTTAAAAAAAATCACAAAGACTGATTACATTATTTCATGTCTAGCAAAATAAATATTTAAAATATATAAGGCTGAGTTAAAGAATCAAGATACAAGTTCCACAAGGTTCTTTTTGCTGAGTGGATTCACAATGGCTTTAGCAGGAGTCTGTTAAAAGTTTATTTGCAATATGCTTTAATATACTTCATATTTTGCATCAGGTTTGGCAGGAGATAAGTGTGGAAGCTAAGCATGTGAAGGATATCATGAAAACATTAGAGAGTTTTAAACTAGACAGTACTCCCTTGAAAGCTTCACAACAAGAATTACCAGCTCACGATGCAGAAGTCTGGTCCTTGCCAGTACCTGCTGATCGTAGGTAAGAAGAAAATTATAGGCACAGATAACATTTTATAGGGTAAAATATGGTCTAGTTTCAATATGAATTTGCTCTGTAATAACTCCCCTCTCCTAGGGCTCAAACACAGTATTTGAAATAATTGATGCTTTAATAGCCAGATGTTGGGCCACGAGTGAAATTTTCTGCATTTTGCTTCAGGATTTTCCTTTCTTGTCTCTAGTAGCATTCACAGCCTGCTTTTTAGGAGTAACTTTAAAACAGTCATCTTCTGATGGTTCCATGAAACTAGCTTTCCACTGCTGTACTTTTCCTTCTTCTTGTGTTGCAATGATACTGCATGCAGCTAGTGTAAAAAGGAGGTAGAAGAGGTATCTTACTTGACCAGTTTTCATAGTTCCCATTCTTAGGACCCTAGTATATAACTCCTCTACTGGCCTTTGCTGTTGCTTGTAGTTTTCCTCAGCAGGAAATGTGTGAAGTTGAAAATGAATGAGTGTGAACTTTGAAATGGGTGTGAAGTTTGTTGTTTTTTTGGACTGTTTCTGTGCTGCATAGCATTTACAACAGCAACAGTGAAACCAACATTTCAATAGCTTTGTCAGGCAGCAGAGGCCCAGGGGCTGCTTGCAGACTAAGGGAAGTATTTCAGTCCTCATTCTTATTTGGAAGGCTGCCTTGGCAACTAAAAAGGCACAAATGTAAGCTTAAATTCTGTAGAAATCAAAGGCTTATGTCTTGATCTTACCAACTTTTACATTGTTTGATTTCTGCACCCCTGCAAAATTCTTTGACTTAACTGGACTCCATATAAGAAGAAGAGCTTACAAGTTTAGCATTTAGGTCTTTGACAATGGGGGTGTGCTAATGACTAAGTAGAGTTTTTGTACCTTTTTAGTTACCCAGATCCTAAAGGTAGAATTGTGGTTTGGAAGCTTTCATAAACAGTATTTTTAGTGTTGCTCAAGAAGTATGATTACTTAAAAATGGAGTATTTGACTGCTTTTAGTCTTGGGTTATAGCGGGTCCCAAAAGCCACAATGAGAATTCAAGCCACTTTGTGCCAGGATTATCCTTGTGTTGAAGGTTTGTTGTAGAAATCGAAACAGTTGAAGGGTGGGTCAGAAATGACAGAGATGTACAACATGGTAATTGCCCAGCCTCCCTTTCTAAATAAAATAGAACCTAAAGTGCTACATGGCTAGAAACCTAACTGTCTAGTCTAGTGGTTCTCAAGGGTTTGGCCCCAAGGGCCAGATGAATGGTGTGGGGCTGGTCCATGGGCTGGATTGGGGCCCCACATTGCTCCTGCCTGAACCCATGCCCAGAGGACCCCACATTGCCCATATCTGGCCCTGCAGGTTAGGATTGGGTTCCAAGCCTCCCCTGGTTGCCCCTACTTAGTCCCTTGTGCTAGGATCAGGCCCTATACTGCCCTGCACACCTGATCTAGCATGTAGGGCCGCAGCCTGCAGGGCTCTTTGAGGGTCAGATGACAGCACCAGCGGCTAGATCTGGCCTGTGGGTCAGGGGTTGAGCATCCTTTTTCTAGTCAAATATTTAACTCTGTCTGCTGTGTTTATAAATTAACCCTTTTCCATTTAAATCTGCCCATTATGATTTTATTTTAACCCTACATTTCTTCCTATTTATATTAAACTTCATCAGTCTCCTTTAAATGAACAATTCAATAATCTTCAGAATCTTGGTCCCAGATAGGTTTTTTGCCTGCAAATAAATGGACTTTCCAGCAAGTGACAGAATTGCATCCCAAAGTCTCCTGACAGGGGTTAGTGACCATGAACATAACTTACTTTGCAGGGATTGAGGTTTTTGTAACCATGGTGCTAGGAAGTCAGTAAGTGGACTAATGCTTCATATGGCAAGTGACCAGGGCTTCCTGTCAGTCATAATGCTCGCTCTTGCAGCTTACCTTATCTTTCTTTCTAACCTGCATGTTGGAAAATATGCTTCTCTAAGAATTAAGGGGCATTAAAGCTTTTTGAAGGTAAAGGAGCCCCACAAATTTTGGGGATCAGAGATCCTCTCTACATGTCCACTTGAATGACTTCTTGAGGGCTACTCTCTGCACGTGTACCGTATTTCATAAAAATAAATTATATAGCAATTTAAATTGGCTTTAACATTGCAAGTTGGGATTTTCTGAGAACAGACTCTCAGGAAGGGTTGGAGAGTCATCAGTTCTTTTAATGAAAGTGCTCAAAGTAGGCAATTTAGGGCCTTTTAAAACAGGGGTGTCAAACTCATCTGGCCCTATGGACCAGGCTACACGAGAGCCAGTGTGCAGGGCACTGCCTGCGGCCTGTACCCCAGGTCCCCTATGCTGTGTACAGTGTCAAGTCAAACCCACTCACTGTGTGCAGAGCAAGTCCTCCTATGCTGCGTGCATTTCCAGGTCCAGCCAGTGTGCTGGATGGAGTAAGGGGCTCTGGGGCTGTAGTGTCCCATGTGGCATATCGGGACATAGATTTCATAGATTTTTTGGTTCGGCAGTTACCTCAGTAGTTCATCAAGTCTCACACACTGCTCTGGGCAGGAAAGAGGGCTGGGGGCAGATGTTGTCCAGTCTCTTCTTGAAGATCCCCAGGGTAGGGGAGAGCACCATTCCCTTGGAAGCCCATTCCAGGTTCTGGCAGCCCTTACTGTGAAGTTCTTTCTAACGTCCAACCTAAATCTGCTCTCCATCAATTTGTGGCCATTGTTCCCTAGTTACTCCAGGGGGTGCCCTAGTAAACAGAGTATTTCCTATTCCCTGCTACCCTCCCCTGCTGAATTTATAGGCAGCCACAAAATCACCTCTCAGCCTTCTCTTGTGAAGGCTGAAGAGATTCCACAGGTGCTTCTCAAGCAAATCCCAGGATGTCATTCTCCCATTGTACTCGGCCTTGGTGAGGCTGCAGCTGGAGTACTGCATCCAGTTTTGGGCTCCTCAATTCAAAAAGGATGTAGAGAAACTTGAGAGAGTGTAAAGGAGAGCCACGCACATGATCAGAGATCAGGAAAACAGACCTTATGGTGAGAGGCTGAGAGCCTCCATCAAAGTTGACCTCGTGAAGGAACACCTTGAGAGGCTGGATACCTTCAAGTCAGCCGGCCCTGACAGTTTACACCCAAGGATACTCAAGGAGCTGGCAAGCATCATAACTCAGCCCCTCACACAGATCTTTGAGTACTTCTGGTGAAGTGCTGGCAGATTGGAAGAAGGCCAATGTGGTGCCTATCTTCAAGAAAGGGAGAAAAGTGGATCCAGCAAACTACAGGCCCATCAGCCTGACCTCTGTCCCAGGGAAGGTCTTGGAAAAGATTATCAAAGAGGCCATCCTTAACAGATTGGCTGACGGCAACATCCTCAGGGATAGCCAGCACGGGTTTGTTGCAGGTAGGTCTTGCTTGACCAATCTCATTTCCTTTTACGACCAGGTGACCTATCACCTGGACAAGGGGGAAGAGATTGATGTCATATATCTTGACTTCAAAAAAGCCTTCAATCTAGTATCCCATGATCACCTCTTGGCAAAACTGGCAAACTGCGGCCCCGGCCGCACCATGATCCACTGGCTGGGGAATTGGCTCTACGGTAGGACCCAGAGGGTGGTGATGGATGGAAGTCAATCATCGTGGTGCCCTGTGACCAGTGGGGTCCCTCAAGGCTCTGTCCTAGGGCCTATACTATTTAACATCTTCATCAGTGATGTGGACATTGGTGTCAGAAGTGGACTGGCCAAGTTCATTGACGACACCAAACTCTGGGGTAAAGCATCCACACCTGAGGACAGGAGGGTGATCCAGGCAGACTTTGACAGGCTCAGGAAATGGGCAGACGAGAACCTGATGGTTTTTAACACCGAAAAATGCAAGGTTCTCCACCTTGGGAGGAAAAACCTGCAGCATGCTTATAGGCTTGGCAGTGCTACACTGGTTAGGACTTGGGGGTCATGATTGACCACAAGATGAACATGAGCCTTCAATGTGATGCTGTGGCTAGTAAAGCAAGCATAACACTGGCTTGCATCCGCAGGTGCTTCTCAAGCAAATCCCAGGACGTCATTCTCCTGTTGTACTCGGCCTTGGTGAGGCCGCAGCTGGAGTACTGCATCCAGTTTTGGGCTCCTCAATTCAAAAAGGATGTGGAGAAGCTTGAGAGAGTGTAAAGGAGAGCCATGCGCATGATCAGAGGTCAGGAAAACAGACCTTATGATGAGAGGCTGAGAGCCACGGGACTCTTCAGCCTGGAAAAGTGCAGGCTCGGGGGTGATCTGGTGGCAACCTATAAGTTTATCAAGGGTGCTCATCAGGATCTGGGGGAACGTCTGTTCAGAGCGCCCCAAGAGATGAAAAGGTCGAATGATCACAAACTCCTCCGTGACCGTTTCAGGCTGGCCATAAGGAAGAACTTCTTTACTGTCTGAGGCCCCAAGGTTTGGAATAGACTGCTGCCAGAGGTGATTCAAGCATCTACTTTGAACGCCTTCAAGAGACGTTTGGATGTTTATCTTGCTGGGATCGTATGACCCCAGCTGACTTCCTGCCCCTGGGGCAGGGGGCTAGACTTGATGATCTTCCGAGGTACCTTCCAGCCCTAGTATCTATGAGATCTAGGTCCCTCAGTCTCTCCTCATAGGGCCTTGCCTGCAGGCCTCCAACCATACAAGTGGCCCTCCTCTGAACCTTCTCAAGATTCTCTGCATCCCTCTTGAAGTGCAGCACTCAAAACTGGACACAGTACTCCAACTGCAGCCTGACTAGTGCTGCATAGAGGGTTAGCATCACCTCCCTGGACCTGTTTATCATGCATGATAAAGTGTGGTTAGCCTTGTTGATCCCTTTGTCGCATTGATGACTCATGTTCATCTTGGAGTCAGCTATGATCCCTTTCCGCTGCTGTGCTGCTAAGCAGGTCATTCCCCAGCCTCTAAGTGTGGGTGGTTCTTTTTGTCCAAGTGCAGCACTTTGCACTTGTCTTTGTTGAACTGCATCCTATGTTGTTCTACCCATTTTGCCAACCTATCCAGATCCTCCTGGATCCGTTCCCTACCCTCTGGTGTGTTAACTTTGCCCCATAATTTGGTATCATCTGCGAACTTGGACAGGGGGCTGTCCAAGCACTTGTCCAAGTCACTGATGAAGACATTGAATAGCACTGGTCCAAGGACAGAGCCTTTTGGGACTCCACTGCCCACATCTTTCCAGATCGATATGGACCTCTCCACCACCACTCTCTGGGTGTGACTCCCAAGCCAATTTGCCACCCACCTGACCATGTAATCATTTACATCACAGCCTGTCAGTTTATTTACAAGAACAGAATGAGAAGCTGTATTGAAGGCCTTCTTAAAGTCTAGGTAGATGACATCTACCTCATCTCCTGCATCTAAGCATTTTGTGACCTGGTCATAAAAAGAAACAAGGTTAGTCAGGCAGGAGCTACCTGCAAAGAATCCATGCTGATTTCCTTTTCAGCATTATTTCCCCTGCAAATGTGATCTGTAATGATTTTTTCCAGAGTTTTCCCAAGGATAGAGGTGAGACTAACTAGCCTATAGTTTCCTGGTTCCCCCCTCATCCCCTTCTTGAAAATGGGGACCACACTGGCAATTTTCCAGTCCTCTGGGACCTGAATGCTTGAACAGCTGTGCCAGCGGCTCTGCTATGACACTGGCCAATTCCTTCAGCACCCTTGGATGAAGTTCATCCAGGTCTGCTGATTTTTGAACACATTCAGCCCCTACAAGTGCCCCTTCATGAAGTCTGCACTAAAAGTTGGTGGGCTGGTGTCCCTCCTGTGTCTGTCTATGATCCAGTTGAGAGGTTTGTCTTTGTCTGTGTCTAGGAATACAGATGCAAAGAACTCATTGAAGAGCTCAGCTTTGTCCCCTTTCTCTGTCACCATTTGCCCTAATTTGTCCTGTAGGGGTCCTATGCTACCCTGCACCTTCCTCTTGCTCCCTATATACCTGAAGAAGGACTTTTTGTTGTCCTTAATTTTTGTCACCAGCCTAAGCTCTAATCCTGTTTTGGCCTTCTTAACTGATTCCCTGCAAGTGCGAGCCAGGGAGGTATACTCCTCCTTGATAGCTACCATGGGTGACTGGTGCCGCCTTAGTCAGAGGGGGCACATGTGCCCCCCAGCAACCAGTTCCCCCACGGCCTATCTGGGGGGGGGGGGTCCCCCTTGGCTGATTGCTGCAGCCGCTTCTTGGAGCACAATGATGCTCCACTTCCCGGCTGGTGCTTCCAGTGGGGGCAGCAGCACTCCTGCCTGCCATCATCTAAGCAGCAAGCACAGCCAGTCAGGGGGTACACCAGTGCTCAGGGGGTGGCATGTGCACCCCTGTGCATCCCCTATGTGGTGCCACTGGTAGCTACCCCCAGTTTCCACAGGCTTTCCTGGACTTTCCTGTGCAGCCAAGAGGGTTTCTTGGCCCCTTTTTCCCCTTTCATGCACAATGGGATTGTCTCGTTCTGTGCTTGTAGGATTGCTCCCTTGAGGAATGATCAGCCTTCCTGGACCCCATTTCACCAATGCTCTTGAGCTTTAACACCTCTAACTAATCTCCTGAGCACACTGAATTAGCCTTTCTGAGGTCTAGCACTTCAGCCCTGCTGATTAGTTAACCCACCCTTCACTGGATAGTATATTCAATCAATCGATGGTCACTATCCCCTAGGTTACCTTGTACCTGCAGATTCCTCACCAAGTCCAGCAAGGCGTTTCCCCTAGTGGGATCGTATACCTCCTGTGTTAGGTAGAGTTCTTGTATGGAGGTTAAGAACCTATGTGAGCAGTTAGATTTGGCTGACTGCTCCTCCCAGCAGATGGATGTCAGGGTAATTTAGGTCACCCATGACGACCTTATCTCTTGACTGAGAGGCTATGGCCTCTGAGTTTGTGGCCATTGTTTCTAGTTACTCCAAGGGACGCCCTGGTAAACAGAGCATCTCCTATCCCTTGCTGCCTCTCCCTGACAAATTTGTAGATCACCGCTAGATCACTTCTCAGCCTTCTTTTATGGAGGCTGAAGAGATCCAGGTCCCTCACTCTCTCCTCTTAGGACCTTACCTGCAGACCCTTAACCATAAAAGTGGCCCTCCTCTGGGCTGTCTCAAGGTTATCCACATTCCTCTTGAAGTG